ACCTTCCCTACCTGTTTGGAAGTCCAAGAGTCACATGTACGCTTGGACCCTATGCGCATGCGCAAAGCCTTCTGCGCATGTGCAGAGGGTCAAAAAAAGGTTACTTCCTCGTTAAAACCAGGAAGTAACAATATCTGGGCAGGTGGGCGGAGCCTCACGCTGCTGCAACTACCGGTTCTTCGAACCATGCACTGCCGCCACTACCAGTTCGGGCGAACCGGTCCAAACCAGTAGCATTTCACCTGTGCTAGAAGGCATTCTTAGAACATTTGTAGGATGTTACTAACCATTTCTACTGTGGTTCCCATTATGGATTGCTTTGAGAAATAGGCTGTTAGGAAAACGGGTAATAATATATATGTATGTATGTATGTATGTATGTATGTATGTATATATATATATATATATATATAAAACTGGGCACATAGTTAAATGCACTAAAATCAATGAGCGCTTAATAATGTGTTGCGTTGTGGCCATCCCCATCTGAATGTTCATCTTTTATCTTATATGTCTTCAGACTCCAGTGTTGCTCATCCTATGAAAACAAAGGAAAAAGATTGCCTTGTTCTATTACATCACCATTGATTATTGATTAGATATGAGCCTAGCTGTGAGTTTCCTGAAGCTCTGGCACATTGTTTTTCATATAAGACCGAATCGTTCTCTGGTGATGCTTTCTCTCTCTCTCTAGAGGAGATGCTTTTTGCATGGTGCGGCCTATAAAAAGTTATGAATCTATTTTTAACTTTGGACCGGTCTCGGGATGCCCGTGCGGATCAATGTTAACGGCTCCATCCATATTGTCTCAAGATCTAATTATTAGTTTACTCGGCCCCAGTACTGTGTCAATTAGAGGAAGCACATGGTGGCCGGTCTCCATTTAAACTTGATCATCTGCTCTTTTTCTTTTAAATTTTAGATGAGTCACCCTTTGTGATGTGCCAGATTAAGTTTAAACCTACAGACAGAAAGAAACCAAACTTCCAAAATCCCAGAACCGCCATATTGTGAGGTTGTTTCTGGCTGCATGGGAAAAAATACCTGCCGTGGGGGCAGATGGCAGGAATTACCCCCCCTCCTCTCTCTCTCTCTCTCTCTCTCTCTCCCTCCCTCCCTCCCTCCCTCTCTCTCTCTCTCTCATCCTTTTTTTTTAAGGCTTTCATTCTTTCCTTGGTTTGCTCTTCCCCGAAAGGGGTCAGGACTGCATTAGACAAACCACAGAAAGCAATATAGAGAGCCTAACTAAACTAAAATCAAACAGAATAGACCCCCGGACAAGGCTCTTATTCAGGGAAATCAATTCTCGAGGCAGTCGGATTGATTTATAAGCATACTTTTTAAGTTTCATTGATTTAAGGATTCAGCGTGTTTGAAAGGAACTTCTGGAACATCTTCTTTACAACTTTGGCATTCTATTCATCTAGCGACTGTAATTAACAAGCACACACCAGGAAAGGAGAAAGAGGAGGAGGAGGAGGAGGAGGAGGTGTCTTTCCGTTTCTTTTTATAGCCCTTAAATTCATTAAGGAGAACTGACCTCATTCAAGGCACATTCCCTCCTTGGAATGAGCAGAGGCCACAGAAATATGCAAACTGACGCCAGGCGGTGTTTTGCTCCATGCAGCGAAAAGAACCATATCGCTTCATTCACAACATGGGTTGGGACCCTTCGGTTCCTATAAAAATATGAAGATGTATCGGTTATTGGAGCCCTTTCTCAAGCAAAAAGTGTATGTAGAAATTCAGAGGGGGGGGGGCGTTGACAAATCCCTTGCATTGTCCTCTATTGACCGAGCCTCTATGAGGTTTGGGGGTTTTTTTTGGGTTTTTTTTTGCAGATTAAAGAAGATTAAAAAAAAATTGGCTTTGAAATAGATTTCTTCCTGGAAAAGAAGGAAGTGGCCCTTCGATTGAAGAAGAATTAATATGCTATATTTCAGTAGAATTACAAGACATATTTTTCATGGCTGCTCAGCTATCTTGTCAATGCTTCATTCATAGCAGTGGTGAATGTATAAGTAGGTTGCTTCAAATGACATGGAATGAATAATAATAATAATAATATTAATAATAATGATGATAATGATGATATGTGCTGCAAGGTTAAAAACACATTCCCCCAAATAACTACGATGGACCAGGATACCCTCGATGAGCGGAGTCACACATTGCACAAATCTTGGTTTGTTTAATCACAGTTTGTTGAATAAAATGCAATGGGGCCGGGTTCACCTGTGCATGATAGCTTAGGATCCCAACAGCTGGCTGGGTTTGCTAAAGCCAAAGCAGGTGAAGTCCATTATGGCTAAATGCCACCTTGCAGTTTAGCCTTCCATGGCCCCACTGTATTAAATATGTAAGCGGGTTCAAACATTGCACTAACTCCACAAGAGCCTTGGTGGCGCAGCAGACTAAAATGCTGTTAAGTAGCACCAGCTGCCTGCAATTACTGCAAGTTCGAATCTCACCAGGCTCAAGGTTGACTCAGCCTTCCGTCCTTCCGAGGTAGGTAAAATGAGGACCCGGATTGTGGGGGCAATAAGCTGACTTTGTACAAAAAAGAGGCTGAAAGCCCTACTAAGCAGGTACATACAAAAGTATGAAGGCTATTGCTTAACGCATTGTAAGCCGCCCTGAGTCTCCAGAGAAAGGCGGCATATAAATCGAACCAATAAATAAATAAATAAATTAAAATAAATTAAAATAAAATAAAATAAAATAAAATAAAATAAATAATGCGATTTTTTGGCCTAGCAACATGGCCAGAAGAACCCAGTTCCTTGACAGCTGTTTAAAGTGTGCCCAAAGCCCTCTGGAAGGAGTTTATTTATTTATTTTTTTACTAACAAGACTATGACTTGGTGCAGTGTATGAAACCAGACCATCTTGAGAAAAAGGCACAGCACTGCAGTGCAATACACAATTTGTGTGTGTGTGTGTGTGTGTGTGTGTGTGTGTGTGTGCAAAATCCAAAATCCCTTTTTATTATTACTATTTTTTTTAAAAAGCTTCGCCTTAAGCCGGGTTTTTAGAAGCAGATTCCTGAAGAAGTCGCATCTTGGAGGATTAGGGGGGGGGAGAGGAAAAGTGTCTGGAGGGTTCTCCTTTCCTTCCCTTCCCTTCCCCTCCCCTCCTGCCCCTCCCCATCCCCAGCCAAGCTGCCCAACCGCTTCCCGTTCGCGGAACAAATCCGTTTCACCCAAAGCTTCCCCCCCTTTTTTTTCTTTAGAAAAGGCGTCCAGGACCAAAGAAGCCAATTAAAGCCGCCCCGCTGCGCGCCGTTAGCCCAGGCAAAGCGCAAGAGGGACATTTGGGAAACAAAAGAGAGACTTTTCTCTCTCTCTCTCTCTGTTCCCGGGAGTAACGCCGGGAGGGTGACGATGGGGCTGGGGGAGAAAATAAAAAAGATGGGCTTAAGAGCTTGGCGTCCGTGGCGCATCTGGGGGGTGGGGGCGCTGGTCCTCTTGCACGCTTCGGTGGCACCGTGGTGGTGGTGGGGAACGGTCCGATGTTGTGTTGCACAACGCAATTCCAGTCCAAAATGACCAATTTTTTTTTCAAAAAAGAAAGAAGGAAAAAAAGAGAAAGGGATAGGAGAAGGAATAAAAAGAAAGAAAGAGAGAGAGAAAAAGGGATAGGAGAAGGAATAAAAAGAAAGAAAGAAAGAGAAAGGGATAGGAGAAGGAATAAAAAAGAAAGAGAAAGAGATAGGAGAAGGAATAAAAAGAAAGAAAGAGAAAGAGAAAGGGATAGGAGAAGGAATAAAGAAAGAGAAAGGGATAGGAGAAGGAATAAAAAGAAAGAAAGAAAGGGAAGAAGGAATTAAAAAAAAAGAAAGAGAAAGGGATAGGAGAAGGAATAAAAAAGAAAGAAAGAAAGAAAGAGAAAGGGATAGGAGAAGGAATAAAAAAAGAAAAAAGAGAAAGGGATAGGATAAGGAATAAAAATAAAAGAAAGAAAAAGAGAGAAAGGGATAGGAGAAGGAATAAAAACAGAAAGAAAGAAAAAGAGAAAGGGATAGGAAGAAAGAAAGAAAGGAAGAAAGGAAATTGCTCCCGGGGAGAAAAAAAAATCCTTTTTTTGGGGGGGGGATTTGCTTCTCCCCCTCCACCCCCTTTTGCACCTTCGGCTCAGCCAACCCATCCAGGCTCCTGCTTTGATTTGGGATTCCTTCGGGTACCGCGCCGCTGGTCTATTTCACCCCGCCGGGGCCCCGCCCCTTTCCTCCTCCTCCTCCTCCTCGGCTCCTCCCCCACACCCCCCTCCCCTTTCGGGCTCGGAACGCGCTTTCTCTCCCCCCCCCTCCCACCCCAACCACACACCCCGCGCTCCGATTGGCCGAAGCCCTGCCGTAGCTCGGGACCGGAGCCGCCGCCGCCGCTGCTGTACCAGCTCCGAGCTCGCCTGTGTGCGGCCAGCAGTTTTGCAGCAAGCAGCGGCAGCGGCAGCCGCGGCGCGCTCGGGGGGGGAAAAAAAGCCCGGCTGGCTGGCTGGCTGGCAAGGCAAAGCAAGCCAGGCAAAAGAGGCGGACGGGAGTAGCGAAGAGCGGTTGGAAAGCAGCGGAGGAGCGGCGGGAGAAATCGGAAGGCAGGCGGCGACGGAGCTGCCGCAGCGGCTGAAAGCAGAAAGCCGGCTGCAGCAGAAAAAGGCAGCCGGGGCTAAAGGAGTTGGAAAGCCGGCGGGGCGAGCCACCTTTATTATTATTTTTATTATTTTATTTTTATTATTATTATTTTTTTCTTCTTTGCAAAGCTGCTGCGGTGCCTCTGCAAAGGCTCTCTCCGCCCGGAGCTTTCGGGATCGCCGTGCAACTTCCCATTGAAACCCCTCCCCCCCAAAAAAAGAAGGTGGAAAGAAAGAAAAGAAAAGAAAAGAAAAAAAAAACTCCCAACTGGTGGGGAAGGCGAGAAAGATCCGGCGTTCCTCTTTGCAGCTGCCTCCCGGAGAGCTTTTTTTTTTTTTTTTTTTTTTTTTTATTTTTAAAAAAAATATTTTTTTTTTTTGGGGGGGGGGTTTGGCTTCGCTACTCCTCCTTTTTGCTCCGTCTGGAGGTGGGGAGGGGACGGACAACGCGGACGATGAGCTGCGCCAGCAAACTTTCCTCGCTGCTGCTTTGTTTCCTGCGGCGCTGGGCTGCTCGGAGGATGCTCAACGCCAGATAATGAGGATGGGGGCCCCGCAAGGAGCCGCCGCCGGGAGGAGACCGGGAGGAGAAGCAGCAGCAGCCCGGCATCGCTGCCAGCGGCGCTCCTGAGTGCCTTTTTTCCACCATCGCCCCCCCCCCCGACGCCCTGCTTCCCACCTGCCCAGCTGAGAAAGCTTTCGAGGACCCCTGACAGCCCCCCACCCATCATCCTTGCCTTGCAAGCCGGGGGGGGGCATTCCTCTCCGCTGCCAGCTGCGGGTTTCTTCTTTGCCCACGGACAGAGAAAGAGAGAAGGAAGGGAGGAGGAAGAGGAGGAGGAGGAGGGGGGTCCGGCGTGTCTCCTCGCCCCCCACCCTCGCCTCCCCGATGCCTCCCCCAACGCATCCGACGATTTGGGACCGCGATCGCCGCCTCGCCTTCTTTCGGATGGACTTCCAGAGCTAAAAAAGAAACAAAAAAACTCTCCGGAAAGGTTTTCTCGTCTCGCCGGCCTCCTTCCACGCGTGTCTCTCTCTACTCCCCCACCCAAACCTCTCCGTGACTTCTCCTGCGTGACTCCCCTCTAGTCTCCCTCCCTCCCTTCCCCAGCTCTTCGCCGTATCTTAGCCTTAGTTACTATCCCCTCCCTCCCTCCATCCCCATCTTCCACCGCCGTGGTCCCTTCTCCTTCCGCGGAATTGGCTTTGCTACCTTCGTCCGTGGATTCCCTTCCCCTTTCCCTTCCTTTCCTCCTCCTCCTCTTCCCAGGTACTCCACTTTCTTCATTAAGGGTCTGTGCAAATTGAGGAAGGGGGGTGGGTGGGGAGTGGAGACAGAGGAAGGGGTAAAGGTTTTTTTTTTTTTAAAGATTTGCGCATGCCAGGTGTAAGTCGGCTGAGGTCCCTCCTCCCCAATTCAGGATTGTGTGTGTGTGTTTTTTTCTTTTCTTTCTAAAAAAGAATTGGAAATAGATTTGCGAATTGTGTAACTCCTCCCGATCTGGCGAGTGGAAGGGAAGCATTTCTTCCCGGTTTTCCTTAAGGCTAGGGAGGTTGCTGAATAAGGCGGTGCACCTGAGAGAGGGAGACAGACGCAGTGAAGACATGAGCTTGTAAAGTAAACCCCCCTCCCCGTAGAACGGCTTCTTTTCTTTCCTTCCTTTCCCTCTGACTCACTCCTTCTTTCCTTCTGTCCCTTCCACAAGCCTTCCGACTTCCCCTCCTTTCCCAGGCACGAAAATCAACAGGCATCCGGAGAGAGACACAGGGAGGAGGAGGAGGAGGAGGTAGTGGAGGAGACACGGAGGGGGTGAACTATGGATATTCTCTGCCCCCTCCTCCAATTTCTGCTCGCTGTTTGGTGGTCTGGTGTAGGAGCTCTGATCAACTTGAAGTATTCCGTGGAAGAAGAGCAAAGAGCTGGCACGGTGATTGCAAATATTGCCAAAGATGCCCGAGACGCAGGCTTTGTGCTGGATCCTCGGCAACCCACTGCTTTCCGAGTGGTGTCCAACTCAGCGCCTCACCTGGTGGACATCAACCCTGGATCAGGCTTACTAGTGACCAAGCAGAAGATTGACCGGGACTTACTTTGCAGACAAAGCCCCAAGTGTGTGATCTCTTTAGAGGTCATGTCAAGCTCCATGGAGATTTGTGTGATCAAGCTGGAGATTAAAGACCTCAATGATAATGCTCCCAGTTTTCCCACAGATCAAATTGCGCTGGAGATCTCCGAGACAGCCAGCCCGGGGACCAGGGTACCACTTGAAAGTGCTTATGATCCAGACTCGGGCAGCTTTGGAGTGCAGAGTTATGAGATCACTCCCAACGATCTCTTTGGCTTGGAAACCAAGACCCGAGGGGATGGTTCTCGCTTTGCCGAACTGGTGGTGGAGAAGAGCCTGGATCGAGAGACCCAATCTCATTACAGTTACATGATCACAGCTTTGGATGGGGGGGACCCGCCCAACTTTGGAACGGTGGAGTTAACCATCAGAGTCATTGACTCCAATGACAATAACCCTCTCTTTGAAGAGCCCTCTTACACTGTTAGCGTGCTGGAGAACGTTCCTCCTGGCACACCGGTGATCCGCCTCAATGCCACAGACCCCGATGAGGGCACCAACGGGCAGGTTTTGTATTCCATCCACAGCTACGTCTCCGAGAAGGCCAGGGACCTCTTCCAGATCAACCCTCAGACCGGCTTGATCACAGTCACTGGGGCGATTGACTACGAAGAAGGTCACGCCTACGAACTGGACGTACAGGCTAAAGATCTGGGTCCCAACTCCATCCCAGCCCATTGCAAAGTGACTGTCACTATACAGGATGCCAATGACAACCCGCCCCTCATTAACTTGCTCTCTGTCAATAGCGAACTGGTGGAAGTCAGCGAGAACGCACCACCGGGCTACGTCATCGCCTTGGTGAGAGTTTCCGACAGAGATGCTGGTGCCAATGGCCGAGTGCAATGTAAACTGTTGGGCAACGTGCCCTTTCGCTTGCAGGAATACGAGAGTTTCTCCACCATCCTAGTAGATGGACGTTTAGACAGGGAGCAGAGGGATCAGTATAATCTAACCATCCAAGCGAAGGACAATGGGATCCCTTCTTTGCAGGCCACAAAGTCCTTTACTGTCAAGATCACAGATGAGAACGACAACCACCCTCACTTCTCCAAACCTTATTACCAGGTCATTGTGCAAGAGAACAATACCCCCGGGGCCTATCTCCTTTCCGTTTCTGCCAGGGATCCTGACCTGGGTCTAAATGGCAGTGTCTCCTATCAGATTGTCCCATCCCAAGTCAGGGATATGCCTGTTTTCACCTATGTCTCCATCAACCCCAACTCGGGAGACATCTACGCCTTGAGATCATTCAACCATGAGCAGACCAAATCTTTTGAGTTCAAGGTCTTGGCCAAAGATGGAGGCAACCCTTCCTTGCAAAGCAACGCCACCATCCGAGTTATTGTCCTGGACGTCAACGACAACACTCCCGTGATAACAGCCCCTCCTTTAGTCAACGGGACCGCGGAGGTCTACATCCCCAGGAACGCTGGTGTTGGCTACTTGGTGACCGTGGTCAAGGCAGATGACTATGATGAAGGGGAGAACGGGAGACTTTCCTACGAGATGGCTGAAGGGGATCGAGGGTTTTTTGAGATCGACCAGGTCAATGGTGAGATAAGGACCACCCGAGCCTTTGGGGAAAACTCCAAGACTACTTACGAGCTGATTGTCGTGGCCCACGACCACGGGAAAACGTCGCTTTCGGCATCGGCCTTGATTTTGATATATCTTTCTCCAGCCCTGGATGCCCAAGAATCCATAGGATCTGTAAATTTGTCCCTGATTTTTATTATTGCCCTGGGTTCCATTGCTGCCATTCTGTTTGTCACCATGATCTTTGTCGCTGTCAAATGCAAACGGGATAACAAAGAAATCAGGACTTACAACTGCAGGTATAGTACTGACCTCTTTCGATATTAGCCCTTAGGTGGGCTTGCTTGACACCCAACCTTTTAAATGTGTCGTTCAATAATTGTGTCCATCCGTTCCTAACCCAGGAACGTTCCTTCCCTGCTTTCAAGAGATAGGCCGTATTAAAAAAGGTCAACCGTGAATTCTTTTAACTCCAGTTAAAAGTGGATTTATTAGGTTGGTTTATATTCTTTGCCTATCCAGGATTATTAAAAACATAGACACACACACACACACACACACACACAGAGAGAATGAGAGAGAGAGAGAGAGAGAGAGAGTGTCCCCCTGGCCATGGCATCAGTGTACTAAAAGAGGGAAAATACAAGGAATTGTAATAATACAGCAAGGCTTTTGATGTGCAATGTTGAACGTGCACAGTAATGCATCTCTCGCTCTCTGTTCTGGTTTGGACTGCTTCCCTTTGTCTTTTCCCCCCCTTTTTTCCCCTCCCGAAAAAGGGAAGGCTCAAAAAAAAAAAAAAAGCTCTTTGGATTAGTTTGAGAGCCGGCTGGGTAGCGATGATGATGAGGAGTGCTGCGTTCAAGCATTTTTGGCAATTGCTAGCCATGCTTTTCTTCACCGCGGCTGCAGTCCTATCGCTATCCCGTCCCCGCCAGATGAGGTCACTGTGGGTGTTTTTTTAGAAGCCAGCTTGTTTTCTCCAGAAAGGGTTGGCTGTAAAAAAAAATAAAAAAAATAAAATCTGGTCGGAGAGAAGATAAAAGGCTAGAAATATACAGATATATATTTGCTGTGGGGAAGAGAGAGAGAGAGAGAGAGAGAGGGACAGTCTTGGCAGGACTTTTTCTGAATGGTCTGTTTGAGAGAAGAAATAGGGGAAAAAAAACCAAACAAACACCATCCAGAGAATTTCGGTGGTTCTCCTCTGCTGTTCTTGCAAGGAGAACAATGATAAGGAAGCTTTCTTTCTTTTTCTTTCTTTTTTATTTTTAAATCCTTTTTCCCTATTTCAACTTTTATCTGTCTGTTCTCTGCTAAAAAAAAAAAAAAAATTAGGGTGGCTTTTTAAGTTGTTTTTCCCTGGTGTTTTTTTCTCTCCCTTCCACCAATGATGTTTGAATGATGCCCGGACTTATTTTTTTTATTATAAATATTGCCTGCATTTAGGGAGGTGTTTGCCCAAGACGTAGAGTGGCGTGTAGCCTTTTTTTCTGTCTCTCGCCCCCCCACCCATCACCACCCCGCCTGCTTTCGAAAATCTTAAAACACGGATTTGGGATCCCCTGAATATTTAACAGCTGTGTGTGATCATTGTCTGTCTTTTGCTATTCTCTGTGTTGCACAAGTTAGGAGACAAACGGCTAACCACACATGAATATCAATTGGGTGCCATAAAGGAACAGCTGCAACCGCCTATAAATGGTTTAATCCGGTTAGGAATGAAATAGCCATAACTTCTCCATTCCTTCAGTTCAGGGGATGGAAATGAATGTTGTCCTCTCTTTTGAAAATAAAAAAATAAAAAAATCCTGAATTGCCCTCCAGCAATTTGAAGCCTGGCATTCTTCAGGGACTTAATGACACTCTTCATATTAACAGAGTTCAGGGATTGTATTTCTCACTCTTGAGTTTTTTTTTTTTACAATGTCTTGTTGTACCTCCGGGCCATACAGTTTCAGGGTGTGAAATGATGGAGGCCATCCTCTACAAATAAAAGCCGCCCCGTATTTCCAGGAGTTCGGCTTTTTAAGAGATCTAATATGTCGAATTTCTTACCGGCTCGGCCCATTAAGCAAGAATAGGCGCTGATCTTCAATTGAGTCAACGCCCCCCCACCCCAACAGAGTTCCCACTTTGGGTATAACTAGTCGGTTTAGCGTGATGGCTTGGAGGGGATTAATGAAGGGCACTTTAATTAAATAATTGGCCAGGAGAAGGAGAAAAACACACAAAGCGCCAGTGAATGCCTGAGTAAGCAAGGTCTCAAGATCCTTGCGGGAAGCGTTCCAACCCACGAGAGACGTTGAAACAGGGCAAGTCTGTATGACTCCTTCCAGAAGTGAACTTCCATCAAGTTCAACTGGATTTCCTTGAGGTGGGTGGGTGGGTGGTGGGGGAAAGGGTGCAAATATGGTGTTTAAAAATATGAGCCGCCGATAGAAAGCGTGCTGAGATTTTCCTCCCCAGAAGCATCTGATGGTTTTCTTTAAAAAATACAGCCAATGGGCATGCTGCAAAAGAACATCCCTTGTTATTTGTCCATTGTGTGTTTGAAATCAGGGTTAGGAGAAGGTGCCCCTCCTCTCCTCCACACCCACAGCGTGTGGTAGGGAGGGCCTGTCCCTTTTGTCTTCCAAACCAGGGACAGGGATGTGACAGGTGTAGGCAGGTTAGTGGATGCTTCCACTCAGGTGCTGAGAATTTGCATAAGCTTTCTGGATCTCTTCAAGCAGCCAGTGTAGGCAGTTTGGATGATTTCTACCTCTATACCTGTTGCTAAATGGTCAACCCTGTTCTAGCTACTTCGTTCTCTGGGGTGCATTAATTTGGGGTTAAGCAAGAGCTGTTTGAGCCTGCAATGCTGGAGCGATCTAGTTTTGAGCAGATAATTTAGGGAGCCTTAAACAATACTAGCACTTTCCGTTCGTTCTTTTTCTGGGTTTCTACCCTTACGAAATTCACCCAGTCCTGCATTTAAGTGGCAAACCAAGCTTCTTCCTGGCTTGCAATTCCTTTCGAAAACATCTCACGCTGCAGTGACACACAGCCTAACTATTAACCTGCAGTAGGACGTGTCTTATTTAAAAAAAAGAAAGAAAGAAAGAAAGAAAGCGTGTTTTTATTCTTTGGAGACGAGAGAAAGATCTTTCGGATGTTCTCCTTGACTTTTCCCCTTTCAGCAAAAGTCTCACAGTGTCTTTTATCTGTTGGACAGAGATTCTCATAGATACCCTTCCCAGAATTCTGCACTCTATAGAGATGCTGGCTGGGGGAATTGTGGGAGTGAAAGCTGTCCATGCCCCCCCCTCTATTTTGGAGTGCATCCACTTTGAAGAAGAGACACTTTGGAATCATTTGTCTTGTGGTTTTGTTGCAAAGCTAGCCTAGGCGATGAATTTTGATGGTAGTAGTGGCAGGTTTTTGGGGTTTTTTGGAGTTTTTTTTTTTTTAAAGCTCAGCAGGCATGACTTTGGAAAATGAACATTTTCCACCCTTTGGTACCAGTGAGATCTATTTCTGACTTTTAAAAGCCTGGCCACGCTGCCTTCACATCTCCCTTCAATATCTACGTCTGTGTGGCACTGATAACAAGACATGGTCCCCAGTAGTAAACACACCGAGTCACAGTTCCTTCAATCTAACTCATCAAGATAACATCTGATTGCCTTCGTGTCTCTAATTATTTTTTCCTGGCTGTTGTTTACTGATAACTTTTCTCCTCCTGCTCTTTCCTCTTTCTCTCGATTTTCTTTCTTTTTTTTTTTCCCCCTGGGTGAGAGATAAATCACTTGCGTATTTCGCTTAACCAGTTAAAGGTCGAAAAATGTGCATGTCCCTTTCGAAACACACCAGCTCTCCGTTCTAGGAACCGCTGAATTCCAGCCTTGCAGGAATGCTGCCAGATGGGTGGACTTCATCTCCCAGAATTCCTGACCTTCAGAGCCTTTGCTGAGAATCCTGGGAAAAAAAATGGAGTCCAGACATCTGGAGGGAGAGGCCGGGAGAGAGAAGAACAATGTAGGATCAAGGGGGGATGTTTTCAAGCTGAGAAAAACGAACCACTAAGGAACAAAATCTACCAGATGGATCTTTTTTTTTTAATACTGTATTAATCTGGCAAATTGAGTTCACAAGATAATTGGCCTGCAGAAATTCTGGCTGCCGGGGAACAAGCCCGGTGCCAGGTAATTGACTCCAGTGGCTGTTTATAAGCGTGTATTATCTAGATAGAACACCTTTGGCCAGGCTGAAGGGACGTACTGGGTTTACTGCTACGGGAAATGATACAGAACAATCTCTCAGCCGATTTTCCTCGCCGCTTTCCCCATTTCTGTGAATCCATTTAAATAATTTTTTCTGATCCTTATTACCAAAGGAAATGCATTTGCATACTCTTTTTTTTTTTCAGTTCATGGATTTTCACATAATTATTATTTTTTTTTCCCTCTCCATTTTCTGCAGGCTGAACTATATCTCGGGTAACTAGATACCAACCGTTCTCAGCAGCAGAAAAAAACCAAACCCAACTAAACCCCAAAACCAAACCCAACCAAAACCAAAATGAAGGGGAATATTGCCTTCCCTTTCCTTTATTTTCCTCACTTGTTGTTCTTGTGTGTGTCGGATCCACAAACTCGTTATGAGCTTATGAGAGATAACACCCGAGACCCTTCGCTGTCAAAAAGAGCTGAGCCATCAATCGCCCTCTCTGCATGTGGATTGGGAAAATCGGCCTCTCTGAGATGCCCTCTTGACTAGTGTGCGGTTTGAGGATGACGTAAGGTTCTCACTTTGCTTTCTTCTGTCCTGCAGAATTGCAGAGTACTCCTACGGCCACCAAAAGAAATCCTCCAAGAAGAAAAAAATCAGCAAGAACGACATCCGCCTAGTGCCCCGGGATGTAGAGGAGACTGATAAAATGAACGTTGTCAGCTGTTCCTCCTTGACGTCATCCCTCAACTACTTTGACTATCACCAACAGACTCTGCCACTGGGTTGCCGCCGATCGGAAAGCACCTTTCTCAACGTGGAGAACCAAAACAACCGGAATGCCGGCTCCAACCACAACTACCACCACACCTTCACGGGTCAGGGACCCCAGCAACCGGATCTCATTATCAACGGGATGCCTCTCCCAGAGGTGAGCGCTTCTCTTGGATTGAAGAGGACTTCTGGAAAGTCCCCAAATGGCAACAATGAACAAGCTTTGGTTGCAACTGGTAGGGGGGCTGCAACTATTTGGGGGGCTAAATAGAAGCCAAACATTTCTGAATCGGATGTTTGGCTGCCATCTTGGGTAACTTTTTTTAAAAAAATTGGACCAGGTGATGTTCTCCAGATGACCTGAACTCCTATTCACATCACCTTCATGATGAGAATGGTAGGGTCCAGTGTATTTGGAGAATGCCAAGTTGGGCGTGACAGGCCCACCAAAGAGAAGTGGCTGTTAGCTATGATAATAACAATGTGGGATTTATATGTCCAGGTTCCTCCTGGATCCATGCAAATTCTTGAGTGCAGAAAATTGGAGTTTATTGGCTGTCTCTATGGGCTTTTCTGATTGGCCACTCTGGGAAACAAGCTTAATGAGTCTTGACCTGGGTTAACACTGAGCTTGTTTATATTTGCTACTTAGTTTGGATGTCTTGTAAAAGAATGGATTTGATTTGACTTGAGTTTGTTATGTGGAGGACTAGTGCATCCTTTGCATCGTTGTGGCTTTCTCAGGGGTTTTCTTCCATCCAACAGTTGTAAAGGTAGACTGAATAACGTATCAGCAATTAGTACATGTCAGTGTTGTGTTGATGTTGACAGGTTGGATCCATGCAGACCGGTGATGGGAAGGGACCTAGAGGTTTGAAATACTTTTGTTTGTAGAGTAGAGTAGAGTAGAGTAGAGTAGAGTAGAGTAGAGTAGAGTAGAGTAGAGTAGAGTAGAATAATTAGACTAGACTAGACTAGACTAGACTAGACTAGACTAGACTAGACTAGACTAGACTAGACTAGAATTCTTTATTGGCCAAGTGTGATTGGACGCACAAGGAATTTGTCTTTGGTGCATATGGTCTCAGTCAGGAAAAGATACATTCGTCAAGAATCATAAGGTACAACACTTAATGATAGTCTAGGGTACAAATAAGCAATCAAATCATATTAGGAAACAGTCAATATAAATCGTAAGGATACAAGCAACAAAGTTACAGTCATGCAGTCATAAGTGGGAGGAGATGGGTGATAGGAACGATGAGAAGATTAATAGTAATGCAGATTTAGTGAATAGTTTGACAGTGTTGAGGGAATTATTTGTTTAGCAGAGTGATGGTGTTCGGGGAAAAACTGTTCTTGTGTCTAGTTGTTCTAGTGTGCAGTGCTCTATAGCATCATTTAGAGGGTAGGAGTTGAAACAATTTATGTTTAGGATGTGAGGGGTCTGTAAATATTTCCACAGCCCTCTTTTTGACTCGTGCAGTATACAGGTCCTCAGTGGATGGCAGGTTAGTAGCAATTGTTTTTCCTGGAGTTCTAATTATCCTCTGAAGTCTGTGTCTGTCTTTTTGGGTTGCAGAACCAAACCAGACAGTTATGGAGGTGCAGATGACAGACTTAGTATTATTCACTAAACATAGCAAATTCTTCATTATGACCTCATCTGTCTTTGTAAATAAATAAATAAATAAATAAATTCTTACTGCTCCAGTTCTAAGGATAGCAGGCTCTTGTCTTAACTCTAAAGCCTGCCAAATTTAGAGAAGGATCCTTAATAACTTGGTCCAATATGGCAGTATTAGCTTCCAGAGTTTGGTAATTACCATAGCATTACTCCTGTCCTTTTTGACATTTGGGCTGTTAATACCAATGTGTATGAGGCCAAAATGATGCCACCAACCCTTGAGTGAGCAATGCAATTAACTTTGTGTAGGTAGTCCTTGGCTTCCGACCACAATTGAGCCCAACATTTCTGTTGCTAAGGTAGACAGTTGTTAAGTGAGTTTTGTCTTTCCTGGCCTAGTTGTTAAGTGAACCACTGCAGCGGTTGAGCTAAGTAACATGGTTATTAAGTGAATCTGGCTTTGCTGTTGACTTTGCTTATCAGAAGGTCCCAAAAGGGGATCCCATCACCCCCAAGGGGACACTGCATAGGTCATAAATAAGAGCTAGTTGCCAAGCATTTGAATTTTGATGACGTGATCATGGGGAAGCTGCAATGGTCGTAAGTGTGAAAAAAGGCCATAAGTCATTTTCCCCGGTGGTGTTGTAACTTTGAAATGGTCACTAAATGAATAGTTGTAAGCAATGTGTCTTGTTCAAAGAATAGATGATCCAGTGAAGATTGACCATAGCCAATGGCCAAAGAATGCTCATTAACATCTTTGGGCCAAGAGAAAAGGCCTGGAAAGTCTGTGGCTGAAGCAGGGGTGAAATCCAGCAGGTTCTGACAGGTTCTGGCGAACCGGTAGCGGAAATTATGAGCAGTTCGGAGAAGCGGAAGCGGAAATTTTGAGTAGTTTGGAGAACTGGCAAATACCACCTCTGGCTGGCCCCAGAGTGGGGTGGGAATGGGATTTTGCAGTATCCTTCCCCTGCCACACACACCAAGCCACGCCCACCAAGCCGCCCCGACAGAACCCCGACAGAAACTGAGCTTAAGGACTGGTTGGAACATGATTAGATGCACGTTGGTCCTTATTAAACAAGCTTCTATTTTAGGCAAGACTTGTTTTAATAGAAGACGGAAAATGCCACTGGGGTGTTAACATTTAGGTCACAAAGCTTAAAACCACTTTCTATTTGCTCAGGATTTTGAGTGGTAACGCACTGGCTGGGTAACGCATAGCAGCTTACAAGAATGCAGCTACTGAGTGTACACACTACACCTGAATTGGTTACGTCTGTTGTGAGCGCAGCCTATTGACGTGTGATGATTTCTGTAGGAGATACGTTTACGTTGCAAAGTTTAATCTGGGAATTCATGGGGGAAGGCAGATGTCTAAAAAGATCAGAGTTCCATATCAAATGTCTTCAGCTCTGAAGAAGCTCCTTGGATGAGAAGCGATATGTCTTCAAAGAAAAAAAAACACAGAAAGTCCAGTTGCCTCTTGAAAAAGCACTTTCGGGACTTTGAAATGGAGGAAGCTTAGGGACACAGCTCTAGTCATGTGGTGAGACAGTCATCTTGCAATGCAGGAGGTTCCATGTTCAGCTTCTAGCATCTTTAAGATCAGGGACTCTTGTAGTTTTTGATGAGTCATGTGCCAGAGTTCTGACGGATGCCCTAATTAAATCATGAGCCTTGGAGCCAAGCTTCAAAAGAAATCCAGTTATTTATTAGGAGCTCCATGTTGGCACGATCCCAAATGAAGCCAACTCTGACTCCATGTAATTTATGGCCCTAATCATGACCCTGTTTCCCCCCTTCCCCCAGGGTGTGTCATCAATCACATTCGCCAATGGAGCAATTTCACAGGTTGTAGAGATCACTCCCCTCTGGCTGCTGTGGGTGACCCTGGGAGACAGCCTCAAGAAAGATATGTCTGGAATGTGCTCCTGTCTTTGGCTGCCATGTTGCTTCATCGGTTTCCCATCCCCCTTGCCAATGGCAACTCGAGAGCAGGCCGAGGATGCTTTGCGAGTTGACATCATGATTTGAAGCATCCCTTATCAACTTATAGTGAGGAGTTCTCAGTTCCTCAACCTGGAGGTCACAAATGATGGGGAGATGTTCTCTCCTTGAACTTTTTGGGTTAGCTACCCATCAGAGTCAAAAGTATAGAAATTCCTGGATTAATTGCATGATGTGGTACAAGAAAGATCCAGAGGGATTTTGAACTTCCAACAAGGACATTGAGATTTGGCTGCTAGGTGCTTGAGGAGATGTAGAATGACTGACTTGTATGACTGATACCACTGCAGATTTCCTTGAAATGAAGCCACTAATCCAAGGATACTCTTCCTCCATCCACCCCTTTTTAATTTTGAAGTGGAAATACCTTGTTTTCCTCATCTTCTTGGGGTTGAGATGGTTGTTGGAGAAACACACTGTGCTATATCAAAGCATTTTATCAGAAGACAAGCTCTATTTTTCCCTTCACTGCTGGGAGTTGAAAAATACTCATTCGTCTACAGTATGTGCCCAGTCCTGTTGGACATTTTTGATTAACACGGGCTTGCTTCTCTTTGAATTATTACTTGGCATTAAGTAAATATCAAGTAATAATTTTTTTATAATGGCATTGTCACAGTTCTGACTTTACATAGAATAGCAAAGCTAAGAAGCCTGTGAAATATTGATGACCTTGTTCCATACTGCTTCTTGTTTTGATTTCATTTTGGGTACTTGGGTAAATATATGAATTCCAGGCTTATTTCTTTGCAAATATATATATATTTATTTTAAAATACACACACACACACACACACACACACACACACACACACACACACATATATATATATATATATATATATATATATATATATATATATATATATTAAAGGTAAAAGGTAAGGTAAAACCTGGCTAGAAAGAATATGCACATAAAAGCCTACGAAAAAGAAAAAGACATATATATATATCTTTTTTCTTTTTTTTTTCATAGGCTTTTATGTGCATATTCTCTCTAGCCAGGTTTTACCTATGTAAACTTAGTTGTTCTACAGAACCTAGGGCTGTAGAACAACTAAGTTTACATAGGTAAAACCTGGCTAGAGAGAATATGTATATATATATATATATATATATATATATATATATATATATATATATATTCGCCTCATATATATATATATATATATATATATATATATATATATATTCGCCTCATATATAGTATATATATATATATATATATATATATATATATGCTGTACTCGCACAACTTGCTAAGGCAAGCTTAGCTTGATCTTGATTATATACTTTTGGGTAGAGTTTTGCACAAATCCATTTGTTAATTTATCCTCCTGTGTATTGAGTGAATGTGGAAAAGGGATCCTTTTGGTAAGTCTTTTAGCAACTCAGATATGTGTGATGCAGAACTATGTTTTTAATGAGCTTTAACTAAGATATGAGTGTGTTGGGCAAACACAGTCTGTTACTTTGTTTGAAGCTGGGACTGGCAACCTGGTATTTTTCTGAATAGTTTT